GCCCCCTGACCCCTTGGCACAGTCCAGCCCCACAGACAGCCCGGCCCCATGGCCCCTATGGGGCAGGGAGGCTCYGGAGGAGTCTGGCATCGCAGTTTATTGTAGGAAACCATGAAAATACAGCGTTTGTTGTAACAGAACCCAGGAGAAATGACAGCAGCTCGGACGGATCCCGGCGTGGGACCACCGGCACAGCCCCCACGGCGCGGGGRCTCCCGGGTGGGTCGGATCCGGACCCTGCAGCCCCAGCCCACCCCGGCCGTGCGGGGTTTGGCACCGAGCGGTAACGGGAGCCAAGCGCGGCCCTTGGAGCACGTGCAGGCAGGGCACGGGCAGGGCTGGCCAGGCACATTGCTGCCCAAGGACAGGGCAGAGCGGGGGCACCGAGGTGCCCAGCAGCCCACAGGAGGGACCCCACAGTGGCTGTGCCCAGGAGGGGCTGTACCTGGCTGCAGCCAGATGAGCCACATTGAAAAACGAGCCATTTTACAAAACATCTTCACACCTCGTTCCAGCCCAGCCTCCCTCCCCCGCCGCCCTCTCCCCCATCCCAGCCGCCTCCCCCACCCCAACCAGCACCCAGCCTCTCCCTCCACCATCAACCCAGTGCCACCTGCCACCCCCCTCCCTGCGCAGCCCCGTCCCCCTCCCTGACCCATCTCTAGGGCTGACCCTCTGCCAGCCCTGCCCACAGCCCCAGCCCGGAGCAGCCTCGGGGGCAGGCGGACAGGGTGAGGAGGGGATGGCAAAGCTGTCCCCGTCCCCCCATCCCATAAAACAAACACCTGGCAGGGCCAGGGCCATCCCYTTACGCTCTGCTCCCTGCCCGCTTGTGTCCCCCCCAGGCCCTGCAGCCCGTGGATGCCCGGGGGGGCAGAGCTGGCGGGTGTGCAGGGAGCTCGGGCACGGCTCAGTCCAGCTTGGCAAAGTTCCCGATGTTCAGTTTCCTCTCCTGCTTGTTGGCCACCAGCTCCTGAAGGTGCAGGGCCCCCCCTCCGATGAAGCAGAAGGCGGGGCAGACCGGCCCCGAGCAGTCCACGCCGCACTCCCAGAGCTCACGGAAGGACACGGCGTCGTAGAAGCTCACCTTGCCCTGCTCGTAGTCCAGGCAGATGCCGATGCGCGGGGGCAAGGGCACGGTGCAGCCGTTGGGGTCGCGGGACGTGAGGGCCGAGCCGTGCGACAGCARGATCTTGCCCATGCCGATGGTGAGGAAGGCGTAGGGAGGAGGCGCCTCCACCGTCGTGTCCTCCGCCCCGCTGTCGTGGCCGCTGTCGGGGTCATACCTGCGGAGAGGGGACGGATGAGGACCCCCACCCTCCCCTCACACCCCTGCTGGGGAGCTACGAACAGGCAGAAAACCCCCTGAAACCCCCCAAACCACCCCGCTCACCTGGGGCTCACCACGTCCTGCGGCACCTGGAACCACTCCTGCARTTTGCTCTCCAGCCCCACGCCCACCTTCACCAGGTACGAGCTGGGGTCCACGCAGCAGGCCCAGTAGCTCTTGCCCTGGGTGATGGCCACGTCGCCGATGACCAGGTCGATGGACAGGTGGCAGCTGGTCATCAGGCGCTCGGCCGCGAACAGCATGGGGATGCCGGGGACGCTGCGCACCGCGCGCTGGTCCTTGCTGATGGCCAAACGGTCCCGGTTGAARCCCCAGCGGTTGTCCAGGAAGAAGTTGAGGACTGTGGGGAGGAAAGGAGGAGGAGGAGGGTGAGCAGGACGCTGACTGGGGTGCTCCCACCGATGCCTTAGGATTTTTTAGCTTCTGTATTCTTGTGCTTCTCTAGCGTACAGCATTAAAGCTCTTATTCTCACATCTTTAGAAAAAACAATTCCTCTCTAGGCCTGAAATCCAAGGACACTTCGCTGCCTCAGAGCCCCAAAATATGGAAACAACAGAGAATTGCGGGGAGCAAGCTTGGGGTGGGTGACATCATCACCTGAAGGTGTTATTGAAGAATTGGGGCCTGAAATGTTCATAAGACAGAACTTACAAAAGGTAAAGATCTCGTGACTCAGTGTCCATTTTGGACTCAGGAAAARGCTTTTGTCTGCCCTTAATGTACCGGGCAGCAGGCCTGGATTAAATTTGTCTGCTTTTATTCTCTTAATTTTGTCAGGGCTCTGTTTCAAGTGAGCCTTGTTTTAGGGCTCCTCTTGTCCCTTCCCTGGATTAAATTTGTCTGGTCCAGGCTCTGTTTCAGGTAAGCCTTGTTTTAAGGCTCCCCTTGACCCTTCCCTGGATTAAATTTGTCTGCTTTTATTCTCTTAATTTTGTCCGGGTTCTGTTTCAGGTGAGCCTTATTTTAGGGCTCTCCTTGTCCCTTCCCCGGATTAAATTTGTCTGCTTTTATTCTCTTAATTTTGTCTGGGCTCTATTTCAAGTGAGCCTTGTTTTAGGGCTCTTCTTGTCCCTTCCCTGGATCAAATTAGTCTGATTTTATTCTCTTAATTTTGTCCGGGCTGTGTTTCAAGTGAGCCTTGTTTTAGGGCTCCCCT